AGTATTAGTTCGTGCATATCTTAAGCCTTCTCTGGAATTTTTGCTAGCCTAGTTTTAGACATTTGCATCGCTAGCATCTCAGCCACGCGCTTGGAAGCATCAACTGTCAGCTACCCTTGAAGCCCAGGTTCTAAATCCTCTTCTTAATTAGGTGCTTCCAAAACTTTGATGCCTAATGTTTCAATTTCAACCTTCCGTATATCCTGTATTAGAAGGGCCGGCCATTGTTTCAAAATACCTTGGGAGAGCCCTTCTAATAGAGGTTTTATGATATTTCCTCTATCGTTTCGTTGTACGGTTAAAATTTCTAGCCCATTGTCACTAATAAAATGTTATCTAGATTGTCCAAAAATCTTGAAAATCGCGATTTCAAGACTTTCAACCTAATTCGTATAAGTTAAACTCTTATAGATTCTATTGAATTCTTTCCAATACAAATAATCTTAAACGGACCGTTCAAAATCTGTCACTACTTTCTTCTTGACCTCTTTGACAAATTTGGTGACACTGTCCCTGGAGACCACTTGAAATCGGAGCAGCCTAAAAGGAACTTGACCCAGGATTTAGAATGAAAAATCACCATTTCGAACTTTCCAGAACAATATGGTGCATTGGGAAGCTTAACCAAATCACAAAGAATTTCAAGTGCTTTTCCGCAAATTTTCAAAAATTTTGCTTCGTTTAACATTACTGAAACTCGTTTGTCATCCGTGAACACTCTAATATAAAGCCACTCCAACTTTGAGCTCAATTATCTAGATTCCTGTAAAAGTTATCAAAAAATTGTCAACTGTTGAATTGTTTATCATAATATCACTAATGTTTTATCAGTTGATCACTTTTTGATATCTTTCACAGGAATCGGGATAGATAAGCCGAGAGTTGGCGGTTTGGGTGGCGTTTGGTGTGTTTATGGTTGTTGTTGTTTATCTTTTTTAAAGTTTTAGTCTGAACATCTATCAAGAACAAGGTCATGATTTTTTTGAAGACCTGTTTTACATCTACTCCATATTTTAAGGATGATAAGGATTTCAGGTTACTGTAGTTGTTGCACAGTTCAAGAAATAGGTTGACACTATTCTAATGAAGACGTTTGACTTCCCGACCGCGTAGCTCAGACGGTAACATCGCGGCAACGCTCATACATTGCCCCCGCCTGTAATATGTACTTTTTATTGCACAATTCAGATACCGTAAAACCTCTAATAGAACAGAATNTCNCCTCTGAAAAGATTNTTCATTGCTTTTCGCCAAGTTTTCTGTTATTATTTCCCAAATAAATCGGAAAATACAAATATTTTATGGTTACGGTAGTTGTCATCGTGGAACCTTTGGTCACAGCCGTTGGCAATTCTCTACCACAGCTCCGTTTTTTCGTAACAGACGAGTAATTTTCGGAACTCGAAATTTATTCTGTTTCATGGCTTTTGAGAAAGTTGGCTATTTTCTCTG